TCTCTCTGCCTACGGTTTACCGGGCAGTTCTATTTGTGACGATATATATATATATATATATATATATATGAGTCGGTGAAACTCCGACGAAACAGTTTGTCACAGCCCCTCGTTTGTTGTCCTCTTCTCCCTCTCTGCCTACGGTCTACCGGGCAGTTCTATTTGACGATATATATATATATCGTCAAATAGAACTGCCCGGTAAACCGTAGGCAGAGAGGTATATATATATATATATCTTTCCCATAGCGTGCAAGTGGGCTGTTATGGCATACGGGGATGGGGGCAGCTCGCGCTCAACTTCATCAACGTGGCGAGCCTTGTACGTTAGAGGCACGGTGGAGGAGGCGTTAAGAAGACTGAGAAATTGAATGATTTCAATGTGCTTTTGTTTTTGATTTTTATCCTTTCTTCAGGATACAGTGAAACGAAGAATAAGAGGACATTGTTCTGTGTCGTTCTGGTTTGTCCGTCTCTTTGCCTGTCTATCCTTTCATTTTTCTTTTCTTCGCTCATCTTATTTCTCCTTCTACTTCACGTGCTTGCGGTCTTAGTGAATAGTAGTGTGACAATATATATATATTGGCCCGGCCGGGCAAGTACCCCCGGGCCACTCTGCTAGCCTAGCTTAAACCACAAAATAAATCGTGTAGGCAATTCAACACATTTTCGGTTTTTGTGTTTTTTTTAGTTTTCCACACACTGTACTACCGGTAGCCCTAATGAACCTGCGCTACCGGTCCCCCTAATTTCCTGACGTTTGGGGGGAGTGGTGGTTCAATCAGCGCAAACTAAACCAAACCCCTGCTAGTGGGACATTGCCGTGAATGTCTGCCAGTCTAAAAATGGCAGTTTCCTCGTCAGGATATGAAGTTCACTCTTTTTCCTCTTTAGGAGATGTAGTTCACTTCTAGGTACACTGTAAAGGACAACCTCTTCACGTGCTGTGCATCTTTGCTCCCGAAATAAATCAGATTTTGAACATTGTTTTTCCTTATCAATCGGATGTTTCTACCTTTTTCTTTCTTTCTTTTTTTCCCTGTCCAGCAGGGGTCGCATACATTGCACAGTGTCGTACCCTGCAGGCTACGGAAACTGCATCCAGGGGCCAAGTCCCACTTGGTACCCGAAATTTAAACTTCTGACCGTAGTGCAATGACCCGTTCGTTATGCCTCGTAACCTGTCTAGGGGCACAAGGCCTGACGTCGGCCTAGGCCGCATTATGTAGAGGCAGGACCACAAATGTGTGGATTGAAGGACCCTGTGCCAAACAGTTGACTAAGAGTCAACTGTACACGACCCTCAATCAAAGTCACCGTGGACCCAGCCCAGGCCGCCGGTCGGACATGCACTTCTTTGTATGTAGGCACCAAAACAACGTTTTGGCCAAGTGGAAGTCTGCAACCGTATGGGATCCAGGCCGTCGACCGCGAGTCAATCTGAGCCATTGTGGGTGGGAGAACTGACGCAAGTCAACCCGGACCAATGCTACAAAAGACCCTGCCTCCGGAGGATTCAACATTCAGTCTTGCTATGCTGACTTGGCGCTGGCTTGACGCTAGATGGATGCTGGCTTGACGCAGGCGGGATGCTGGCTGGACGCTGGCTTGATGATGGCTGTACGTTGGCACTGTGGACGACAACGCGAGATTGCTGCTTGCATGCTAGCGCCTTCCTGCTTCGGCGCCAGCCTCTACTGACGTGGTGCAAGCCACGATGTCTTTGGCATTGCTGATGTGGCGCACACCACTCTGTCTTCATAGCTGACGTGGAATTGGCCATATTGTCTTCAATGTCGAGTTGGACGCGACAGGGAGGGAGATTGGGATCTGTGGATGATTGAGAGAGAGAGAGAGAGGATACGTACCTGCTGGTGATGTCGATACTATACGTTGTTGAACGTCTTCACGGTTGTACTGTGCCACGTGGCACTTTGATGTGATCAGGACCTGTCAGTCTCGTTATTGGACATTGTTTATTGAAGTGGAGGCGAGGGGAAACCCAGAGAAGGAGAGGGAATGTTGGGCTACTATCTCTGTGGTCATTGATGGATACTATCTCTCCACCTTCTAATTTGTCTAATCCCCCTCTCCTCTCTTCGTCTATTGGATACGAGACATTATATTAGAGATCACATTCATGATTAATCGAGATATTGTCAAGCGCAAAGATTTCTTGTACTTCGACATCTGACGAGTATCTTTCAGACTGGGTTCATTACAATTTGGTATCGTAGCTTACCTTCTTCGTCGCGACCTGTTGCCAGGCGCCACGTAGCGCCCAGATAAGTGGGAGGTGCTGCGCGTGATTGGAAGGAAACGCGTTTATTAACGCGCACGATTATTATCGTGAGACTAGACATTGATTGCCATGCGCGCGCGCTCGCTCCTTTGAAGATGATGACCTGGACACCTCGAAGAGAAGACGACGACATTGTTTACGTGGCGCTTTGTTGCTGATTAGATACCGGCGAGAGCATCGTTGGCTACAGGCTGACGTGGCTCTGGTAGGAGATAGAGAAAGAGAGTGGGTATTGGGACTGCTGACGTGGCGTGCTGCCTACATGGCACGGCGCAGGGGTGTTGACGTGGTATCCTAGGATTGGCAGGGTATTGTCTAACGTGACACTTACCTGTGTCGCGACTTACCTGCTGGCGTGGCGCTCCACATTCCAACAGTACTTCGATCGGACGTGGCATACCATTGGTGGATGATCTGGCGGTTGGCGTGTTGCTAACATGGCACCCTTCTTGTCGGTTTCGGGTCATTGAAAGCTGACGTGGCAACTCCGTGGAGGTGCTTCATTGGCATGCCAAGGTGACGCGTGACAGTAGACGAGCCCTGCCGTTGGTGAGAGGTCGATACTTGCACTTGCGTGTTGGCGGGCGGTACAACTTCACGATTGGTTGTAGTGCCATGCCATCCCTCGTGTCTGGCCGCATTGGTATCTGTAGATGATGCAGCCGAAGAGGAAAGGATGCTGACAATTGATTATTGTTGCTGTGTTGGCTTACTTACTTGTCTTGGCTGGTCTTTGGTTGCCGTGCATACTCACCTGTGTTGTTGTGTCTTGATCACACTGGTCATGGTTGCAGTACCTATATACTCTCGTTAGGACGTCATCACATAAGACAAACAACAGAAAAATAGAATAGAAGTAAATATAAATTTGTTCCTTAATTGTTTTGTTATTAAGTGGTCGTGGAATTAATTATTGCCTTTTATTTATTTACCGTGCGGCAGTCACGCGCTGGGTACCATGTCTTATCTTTGTAAATGTTTGCGTGCCTCCATTCTCACGAGATATTTCCCTCTTTTCTTCTTCCCTATCCCTCTCACTGTCTATGTCGATGGAGAAGGGGGGAACTTTAAAACCCGTGGTCATATAAATGCGAGAAGACAGACATTGCTAGGCCTTCTCCGCCTGTTGCTCGGCGAGATACTTGGAGCCGGACGAGAAGCTGAACGGCACGTTCACGGTCAGTTCAATCTGCTCGCTGCAGAAGGTGAACTGAATGCCGTTGATATTGCCGTGCAAATGCTAGAGACCGATAGACGAGTTGAAGAACTCATCAAGAACGGGTAATTAGCCCAGAAAGCAATGGGCCAAAAGAGAACAACTGAAGGAGAAGGAGGAGGAAAAAGAAAGGAAGAATCAGAAATGTTCGAAGAGATTATGGAGGGAAACATCAAACAGTTGGAAGAAACACTGAAGGAAGAGAGAAGAAGTACCGGAGAAAGAAACAAGAACGACAACAAGAAGAAAGAATAGTGGATGAAGTCAGACAAATATTTAATTTTGAAGGAACCGAAACTGATCTTGCATCCGTGTTACAAACCATGATGGCTTACCTTGTTCACCTTCAGAAGAAAATTGATAGCAACACCGCCACGTTGAAGACAATGACCAGAGTAGTTAAAGGGAAAGAGAAGGTGGTGGTTGAGGAGGAGACCAAGGGGGTAGAAGAAAAGAAGGAACCCCATGAGAAATTAATGAAGGATGCAATGAAACGAATGACACCGGAAAAAGCACGAAAGTTCCAAGAAGGAATTTGAAAAACTGGCGGAAAAGAAAAGCCTGCTACGAAAGAACTGGCCAAGGAAGTTGAGAAGCCCAAAAAGAAAGAAAAGGTCAAGATGAAATTACCTTTTAGCTATAATGGAAATCGAGGAGAACATTTGCTTCTTTGGATAACTGAAATCCAGATTTATTGTATTACTACACCGGCCGAGCTGAAAAGCCAAGTGACTTTCACTACCTCATGTCTGGGTGAGGTAGCAAAGGAATGGGTATTGTCTGAAGCCAATGCTGTTTGCTCCGAGGATATACGTGAGTGGGCCAAAACCTTGACCGTTTGGGAATTTCTCCAAAATTCCTGGACAAAACGACGACCGATAAGACCTTTGATGAACTCACCACCATCGGCCAAAAGCGTTGGACGATTGTGGATGCTTTGTCTCTTGAAGTTGATCGGTTGTTGCAGGTATTTGATCTGAACTTGCAGGACAATCAAGTCTTGTACATCTTTTCACGAGCATTGTTGGAAACTCTACGAGGACACCTCGTCGCCGATGCTAAATCCGGTAAGTATAATTATAGGCAATTATACGACCTCGCGCGCTAGAGGGAGCAAATGACTGCACATGTAAAGGGAACGTACTCGTTTGTAGTGAAGAATGGTCCGGTTGGTGGGTATGGGAAGCGAGTTCTGTGGCGGCAAAAGCGACAGGACCACATGCTCGTTTGTCTTCGACGACGACACAATAGAAAAGTTGCCCCTTGACGAGGCGGAGGGTGAAGGAAATGGCAACAGTGAGTCGGGAAAGGGTGACGTCACTGCCGCGGTGACCAACAAGGGAGGTACGTTGGAACAGGAAGAGGAGGCCGCGCTCCTTTTCTAAGCACCCCTACATTGCAGCCGGGAAACATTGGGAAAAAATTGAACTGTCACGGGAAGAGTGGCAACAATGAATGGATAACAGGTAGTGCCTTAAGTGTGGCACTGCGGGGCACATCATGGCATGGTGCCCTTTCATTCGAAACCCAGGGGAGCAGTTAGTAGGAGTAACATCTGCTCCTACTGCGTTGGGGGGTTTAGTTGAAGGTAAGGCGCCGATCACCCCTTTCAACCCCCCGACTCATATGACAGAGGATGACTCTTCTTCAACCCGTCGTTCAGAACACCTTGACACCGTCTTATGTTCTATCTCTCTGGACGATTCCCTTGACGAACTTGGAAATGAATTCTTAGCTTTAAGAAGTTTGTGGGTTAAGAAAGCAAAGTCTAAGGGTGAGCTAATGATCGCAGACATCGAGATTGTGCGCACGCAAGTAGGTGCCTTGTTAGACCGAGGATCGACGTGGTTCTACATTTCAGAGAAGACAATTCGCAAGTTGCATCTGTGAATGAAGGTAAGAGACTTGCCAAGACCTATCACGTTTATGTTGGCTGACAAGATTATGATCGCGTCTATGTTGGCTGACAAGATTATGATCCCTGTCTTACCTTTAACATGATTCTGGGAATGGATTGGCACGAGGAAGCCGACCCTAAAGTCAAATTAAAAGAGAAGATTGTAAAGTTAAAGGACAAAAGTTCGAACTTAGAGCAAACTATATCATAAGTTTGAATCTGACTCATCATTGTCTTTTTGCTGTATGAGTTACCGAGCCTTTAGATCTATGGTCTCAGAGAAGAAGTTGGATAAGGATTTGATGATGGTGCTCGTTAAGCAAGTAGGAGAATGTTCCTCATCCTACCCTCCTTCTATTGAGAAGTTACTCGATGAGTATAAGGACTTGGACTTGCAAACTGAGCCGATGGGAATCACTGAGCGTGCTATTAAGCACACCATTGAGATTATTCCCGATAGTAAGTTTCCCAAGGGTCCCATTTATCACTTGTCTCCTCGGGAACTTGAGGAATTAAAAAAACAACTGCAAAAACTAACTGAAAAAGGATGGATTCGCCCAACTCATCTCCTTATGGTGCTCCTATCTTATTCATGCCCCAAAAGGTAGGTGAACTTAATACTTCGTATTGACTATTGAGGGTTGAATGTCGTCACTGTCAAAAATGCGGAACCACTTCCACGCATTGATGACTTGCTGAATTAGTTGCAGGGATGTCGATATTTCAGTAAGAGTGATGTCAAGTCAGGGTACCACCAGATTGAGGTGGCTCTTGAGGATCAACACAAGACAACCTTCCGAATCAGGTATGGTCACTACGAGTTCGTGGTTATGCCTTTCAGACAACCTTTCAAAGGTCTATGAATGAACTGTTTTGTCAATGGCTGGATTAGTTCGTAGTTGTCTATCTCGATGATATCCTCGTGGATAGTAAAACACTTTAGGATCACAAAAAACACCTACGAATGGTTCTTCAGAAGTTGCGCGAAGGCAACTTCAAACTGAATCCTAAGAAGTCTGAGTTTGCTAAGCCTGAAGTGTTATACTTGGGGCATATAGTAAACGAAGAGGGACTAAGGCCTGAAACATAGCTTGTATACATTCGTAATTTTGGTTCCTTGTGTGGGGGGGAATGATGGTAGCAGGATGGCCTTCACAGTTTAGCACTCTTCTTCTTCTTCTTCTTTTTCTTCAATGTTTCGAGATAATCACCAGTATGCCCCTGAGAGTTATTGAATGTTTTGCCTTGGGCACTGGGCCCGTATTAATAAAAATTTCGTTTGGCGTGGAAAAAAAAAAGATAAAAAAGAAAAGAAAAGAAAAAAAGATAATCACCTGCTTTTCCCTCTCTCTTTGTCAGTATTAAATCAGATATCATGCGGATCCATGTTCTAGTGGGAGATACACTCTCTGATTTGCACATCGGCATGTAGTTTCACAATGCGCCAATCTTGACTTTTCTTTAATGTATTTTTCGGGTTCCCATTCTGCCACATGCTTCATTCCTAATCTTTACCCTTTTTTTTTTTCTCAAGTCTTTAGCCTCTATAGAGTCTTTACCCTTGGTGGTTATGGTTCAGATCTGCACTCTGATGGTTGAAGAAATAGCTCAGTGGCTGCCCTGAAAAAAACATTATTGCTGCTTTCCTATGGGGAAACCGCTCAGAAAATTCTGAAGCCATATCTGCCATGGACCCCCCCCCCCCCCCAAAAAAAAAAAAGAGGGAAAAAAAAAAAAAAAACTTTCAAAAAAAAAAAAAAAAGAGGGAAAAAGTAAAAAGACCTCCGGGGGCGAGGTCCCACTAGCAAAGAGGATAGGATCAAGCTCCTGAATCTGGACGTGTTTTAAGCAGAGATGCAGACAAGCAGTCCAACCTCGACATTCTGCACCTTTCCTCAACCAAGTCCAGATTCAGGTGCTCAATCCGATCCTCTTTGCTAGTNCCCCCCCCCCCAAAAAAAAAAAAGGGTGGCATAAAAGTTCATCATTCTAGCAAAAGATGTGGACAGGAGGCACTCATCAATCCTCGAAAGACCTGGACACCCATGTAGCAGCCCTGTCATTCATTCATTTATTATTATTATTATTATTATTATTATTATTATTATTATTATTATTTTTTCTCTGTCATTCAATCTTCTTCCACTTAAATGATAAGGTTGAATGAACTTTTTTTTTAAACTATTATTGTTATTATAGCCAGAAACCGGGTCTGGTGTCCCTTACAAGAAGCAAACTTTATGGCAAATGATAAGGTTGAATGAACTTCTCACAGCACCCCCAGTGGCAAACTGCCTGCCCAGATGAGCGCAATCCAGACACGTGTTTTTTTTTTCTTTATTTTTTTAATCCAGACAATTCAGATGACCATTCAATCCGTAGGAGCGACGGGCGGTGTTTACAAAGGGCATTCTTCTTCCTTTTAAATGATAAAGTTGAATGTTTTTTTTTTTTTAATAACTATTGTTATTATTATAGGCTTTTATAGCCAGAAACCGGGTCTGGTGTCCCTTACAAGAAGCAACCTTTATGGCAAATGATAAGGTCGAATGAACTTCTCACAGCACCCCCAGTGGCAAACTGCCTGCCGAGATGACCGCAATCCAGACACTTGTTTTTTTCTTTTTTTTGGGGGGGGGAACTAGGGCGCAGTCACGAAAGCAGTTTGTAAATGCATTTCGAACTGCCTTTTTGGAGTCCAGTACCGTCCCAAGTTTCAACTGCAGTAGAAACACTTCACACGCATAAAAGTTGCAAGGCCGAGTTTGCAACTGCAGTTCAGTCCGCCATGTGGTCTCCTTTTTTCGCGGCCGTGGCCGAACCACGTGACGAGATGCTCCCTCTTTTTTTTTTCTTCTTAACCTTGGATGTGGCTGAGGCATCGTGGCCATGGCCAGCCACGCGACGGAGCCTAGATTTATAGAAAAAAAAGAAAAGCCCAGAGGGCCTTGCTCCACTATTCTTGACATGCACAAAAGACACAAATCAAGGGCGCTGTATCTTTCCATGTTCTACAGGAAGATTCGCTCTCGTTTTGCACATTTCGAGAGTAGTGGAGCCATGCAAAACGAGAGTGAATCTTCCGCTACAACATGGAAAGATGCACCAGCACGAGGCCCCAAGGATGACACGCAAAGGTGGGGAAATCTGAGAAAGGAAAAAAAAGAGAAAAACAAAAAGAAAAGAAACTGGGTTGTTGTCAGCACGTGTCTCCCCTAGGGCCTCTGCGTTTTTGTCAGCCCGTGTATCCCGCTGGGCCCCTGTATTCCCGTTGCACAGAAGACAAAAACCATGGAGCTGTATCTTTCCATGTTCTGGGGAAGATTCACTCTCGTCTTGCACATTTGGAGATCAGTTGTGGAAACCGAGAGTGAATCTTTCCGTAGTGTATGGAAAGATACAGCGCCACGATCTTTTTTTTTTCCTTCTTGTTTCTTTTTTTCTTTTTTGGAAAACGGCCTGGCCCTCCGACGTGGATGACTAGACTGCAGTTACAAACTCTGCCCTGCGACAGCCACGCGACGGCGGAGTTTGGCCTGCAGTGTAAACTTAAGAGGGGACTGGACTCCAAAACGGCAGTTTGAAATGTATTTTCAAACTGTAACCCTGACCGCGCCCTAGTTTTCTCTTTTTCTTTTAAATCCAGACAACTCATGACCATTCAATCCGTAGGAGCGATGGGCAGTTTTTACAAAGGGCAATCTTCTTCCTCTTAAATGATAAGGTTGAGTGAACTTCTCACAGCACCCCCAGTGACAAACTGCCTGCCGAGATGACCGCAATCCAGATGCTTGCTTTTTTTTCTTTTTCTTTTTTTTTAATCCAGACAATTCAGATGACCATTCAATCCGTAGGAGCGACAGGCGGTGTTTACAAAGGGCAGGAACATAATCAGCATGAGCCGTACTTGTGGAGGCGCATCACGAGAGTGCAAGTTGCAAACGCACACACATGCGGGGGCACGTGATGCGGCGCACCCAAATAAATAAGATCGATTAAAAAAAAAAAAAAGGGCAGGCTGTGGTAGCCATCTTACTCATTGGATCGAGTCTCTTTTCCGAAGGCCCCCCAGCAGAGAATCAACAAGGGTCCCATTTCTTCCCAGAGACGTTCATGGAATTGCGGGTGGGATGTGAGCAGGCCACCAATATATATTCTGGATTCGAATGC